CTAAAAACTCATCTAGTTTTTTTTCTCGAACATCAGTTCTTTGGAATTTGCTTCCTTTATCCTGTTTTCCTGATTTATATAATTCGCAACCTTTTAAGTCACCTGTCAATCGTTATCTTGCTCTACAATCTTTACATTTTTTCTTCCAGCAACTTCCAACTCAACAACAGTGCAACAACTGCAAGCAACAGTGGTTGCTTGCAGCCTTGTTGGATGCGAAAATGTTGAAAAAAAAAAAAAAAAAAAAAAAAAGAATTAAAGGTAAAAATTTAGAAAACTTAAGGTCTATCACCAAGTACATGTTTATTTTTCTTGTTGGTTTAAGATTGATGTTGAACATTCTTGGATTGAAGGTCCTAAACATATACAGCTGCAGCAACTCAAATTTCAAAAAGATGATGTCATTAAAATAGTATCACTCTCTCTTCAAAGATCAGCTTGGCTTTATTTTATTAAGTGTATACTACAAACATTGTTGTGTTTTAATACTGAAGAGAATAGAAGTGTAGCTATTAATAAGATAAAAGATATTAGAGGTACTGGAAATGAAGATCTACAAAAAGGTGATTCTCTCCTAGACCAAAAAAAATTCCTGTTCTGAACTTTAATGCTGAAAAATTGGTAGGCCTGTTTATGAATCAACCACCAGTTTATGAACCAATCCTAACTACCTTTCTAACAACTTTTAAAATTAATGTGTTTTTATCAAATCCTGTGCAGGTGCCAAATTGGGACAATCTGTTGAACATTGCATAAAGCAAGTTATTGAAGTTTCAAATAGAGTGTACACTCACGAAAAAAAAGAAGAATTTGTCTAAACTCAAGAGATAAGTAGAAAGTATATGCCTAAAAAATAATAAACAAGACCTTGAAAGTTTGACACAAACGTTTTTTTTTTTAAATTTAAATTATTTATTGAATTAATTCAGGGTTTTTTTTTAAATATCTTGCTGTATTTCTAGCATCAATAACAATAAAACTTATATGCAAAGTGTTTAACTACCAAACTGCATTTAAAATACATTGAAAAATATTTTGATATTTATAAACTAATCTTAATCTAATTTCAGTTTTAGAATTAACATCCAAATTAAAATTGAATTTCAAGTCTAATTTTGAAATAAAAATATTTCTTTTAAATATGATACAAGTTCTTAAAGAAAATATATTCATATCAAAATTACTTTAAATCAACATTTATATCCCAACCGATATTTATCAAATAAAGAAAAAAAAAACTTATTAATATTTAAGTAAAAACGGGTTTTTTTGAAAAACCAGGCCAAACTTTTGTTGAAATAAAAAGTCAAATCACCTGCAAAAAACTTAAGCATAAAACTTTTTAATTCAAATTTTAAAGCCATTTTAATTCAAAATTTCATGGATGCTCCATGAAATTTTGCAACTTAGTAACTCCCAAAATTTTTCTTGAAAAAAATCTAAAATCGACACAACCTAATATAATAGCTAAATGATTATTACTTAAAATATGTGAAGTTTTTTTTTTTAAAGTTATGTGTTTCTTTTTGTAAATTTTTGTAAAAAGAAATGAATTTATTTGTTACATATAACTTGTAAAAATATTTCATTGAAAAGATTTTTTTTTTGTCATACTTTTTACAAATATATATATTTCATAGTTTATATTTTGTTAGCACCTGAATTTAAATCTTAATTATTTTTAATTTAAGTTAACCAAATAAACTTACTTTTTTTTTTTTGCATACTTTAATAATTTTTGTAAATATATAAAAGAAAAAAATATATATATATAATAGTGATTTATTTATTTTTAGTGTTAAGATTTATTATTAAATTTTAGTGTAAAGATTAATTTTTTTAAGAATGAACTTACTCAGACAGACATTTTATAAAATAATCTTATATAGTATAAATTAATTCAGTCAGACATCCTTGATCTCAATGGTCAGTTTCTCCACATTAACCCTTAGCTACTTTTGATCACAGTTTGATTAAAACTGTGATTAAAAGCTATTACCTTATTTTTCACTATCTCTAAAACTATTATCTCATTTTTCTTCATCATCAGAATCACCCTATCATCATACCTCTTACAACTACCTTGAAGCTGACTGGGATTTTTACATGATTTCTTTGTGATGACACTTGAGTAGTAATCTTTCATCTTCCTGCTGACAAACACGCTTCTTACATAACTTTTATTTCAAGCTGGCATGGAATCTTCTATACCTTCTTAAAGATTCAAAGTCAAGTCTCACTCTTCTCCATGGTTTTCCTTATATTTTGCTGCTGCAATTTTTCAATCGAAACTGTTACTTCCATATCTATCAGCAAAATAATTCTCCAGAAAACAGATGTCTGTTTATTACTGCTAGAAACCATTGCAAAAAAGTTTTCAAATGCCAAAGCCCTCTATTCTCAGGTCATAAAATCTCGTATTTCATCTCAAAAACTTGGCTCTGGTGACTTCAAGAGAACCTTTAACAGTATCAATAATAAGAGCAAATCTTTATTCCACCTCTCTTGTATGGTTCAGATTTTGTCATCTCACCAAAAGACAGCTCTTAATTCCACTAGTTGCGTTCTACCTGATAAGCCTACAAACAGGTTGATCGATTGGTTGACATTTAAATAACTCCAGCTTCTGTATCTAAAATGATTTCCTGCTTAGACTCTTCTACAACTTATGTTCTGGACAATATATCTGTTATATACTTGCAGAAGTATTCTCCGAAGCTATCCTCTATACTTTGAAAACTATTTAGAAGTACTTATCAGAATCTTGTTTTCCAGTATGCTAGAAAGTGGCATTTGTTATCCCGATTTTCAAAAACTCTGGAGAGCGATTTGACTAGTCTAACTATTGTCCAATTAGTCTTCTTCCTATCATAAACAAGGTTGTTGAATCTTTAATTAACAAATACTTTAATGGGCACTACTCTAAAGAGCTAGTGTCTCTTGTTCCATCTGTTAAAATTCATTCTCGCATTTCTTGTCATTCAATCAAGTCATCCTTTTTCTGTGACTAAGTGCTCCAAAAACACTTATTCATCTAGTTTTTTTTCTTGAATATCAATTCTTTGGAAAATGCTCCCAATTTATGTATATATATATATATATATATTAATTATATATATATATATATATATATATATATATATATATATATATATATATATATATATATATATATATATATATATATATATATATATATATATATATATATGTGTGTGTATATATATATGTGTATATATATATGTGTATATATATATATGTATATATATATATATATATATATATATATATATATATATATATATATATATATATATATATATATATATATATATATATATATATATATATATACATAAATTGGGAGCATTTTCAAAAGATGTTGGTAAAAAAAATTTTTTATAAAATAATCTTTTGTAGTACAAACTTATTCAGAGAGATATTTTATAAAATAATATTTTATAGTATGAACTTATTTAGACAGACATTTTAAGATAATCTTTTATAGTATAAACTTATTAAGAGAGAACAAAATATTATTTTATAATTTGAACTTATAACATAATCTTACCTATAAGATAAACTTATTCAGAGAGACATTTTATAAAATAAACTTTCATAGTTTTCATACTTTCATATTTGATTCAGACTTGAATTTCAACAAATATTGTTGTAATAATAGTTTTTTAGATTTATAAAAAGTCAAAAAAATTTACAAAAATGAAATCGACTAATTTCATATATATGGAATAATGCATGGTAGTTCTTAAAGTCTGTTTCAAAACAGCTGATTATTTAACATATAGACATTTTATACTAAATAAGTTAAAAATTTTTTTTAATAAAAGTGTTCAAAATGAAAAAAAATAGATTAATATATATAAAAATATATATATAAATATAAATATATATATATATATATATATATATATATATATATATATATATATATATATATATATATATATATATATATATATATATATATATATATATATATATATATATATATATTATTTTAAATCAAAAAAAAAAATTTAATATTATTATGGATCACATAACTATTTTATAAATGTTTAATCATTGTAACTTTTGGTAACAACCTTAATTAATGTTTATAACATAATTAAGGTTGTTAATTGTAATGTTTTGATATTTTTTAATAAATGTGAAAGAAAGATATATTTTTTTATTTTTGTTACATATCAAATTGGGGGTGTGGGTGAGTAATGACTCACCCACATTTATTTGACTCACCCACATTATAATTACCATTTATAATGATAAATGGTAGCGTTGCAAACTGGAAACACTGGGAAAAATTTTTTTTGCATTTGTCATTTATAATAAAAATATTGACATAATTAACATGTTAACGTTACCAATAAGTCTGCACATTTAATATATTGAGAAAAGAAGTTTTAGTGTAAAGTTTTCTTTTTTAAAGTAATAAAATTTCACATTTGAAACTTTTTTTTCTCTGAAAACAATAAATAGAGGAAGGGTTCTAATAAACTCTGGGTGTAATAAACTCTGGGTGTAATAAACTTTGGGTGTAATAAACTCTGGGTGTAATAAACTCTGGGTGTAATAAACTTTGGGTGTAATAAACTCTGGGTGTAATAAACTTTGGGTGTAATAAACTCTGGGTGTAATAAACTCTGGGTGTAATAAACTTTGGGTGTTTAGAAAAAACTACAAAATTGTTTAACAACTTTGCAACTGATGACTATACACTACATTTTAAGTTTATATTTCAAGTTTCTTTTTTAAGTCTACATTTACTCTTTTTTTGAATAAAATACAGACAATAATTTATAATAAATATAGATGTCAACATTTAATAGTAAACAGTTTTTCAGTGATCACAATCACTGAAATCAATTTTTTTTTTAATCATTTTATTGTTTTATTAAATTTAAAAATAAAAGTTGATTTTATTTTTCATTTACTTACATATATAAATTATAGTGACAAAATAATTTAAAAAAATAATATACCTTGACTATTATCATTTAATTTACAGAGCAAGTCATCAACAGCATATGGTGTGCATGTAGCAGATGGGGTAGCAGCTAAATTATTTTAAAAAACAAAATAAAAGATTTAAATGTTCTGACATAACAAAATAATTTTTAAACATATATGTATATATATATATATATATATATTATATATATATATATATATATATATATATATATACAGGCTTGTGGAGCTGAGCCGGAGCTGTGGAGCCGCTGCTTTTTGGTGGAACTGGGGAGCCGCAAAAATCTCTCTGTTCGTTTAAAGAAAACACGACTTTCGGCTCTCGTGTTTTTTTTAAAGGAACAGAATGTATGTTAATTTTTTTACTGTAGACAAACTTTTTTTATTTATTGTTTAACTAATTTGAAGAATGAATTATTTATTGAACTTCTATTTTTTGAAAATATTTTTTTTTAACAGTTACGGTTATGTCTAAACTAAATAAAAATGAATATTTTAACAATTTTGTGCTCAACAAAATACTATCCTTTAATAAAATTTCTTAATATTCTTTATTACAAAAAAAGTAAATTGTAAATGGAAACATCACAGTGATGCACATATTGCTTTATATTACATTTTTATACTGATACTATGCTGTTAAATATTTAATGCACGATTTATCATCAAAGGTTATTCATATCTTTAGAATTAAACTAAAGCATGCGATCATTTAATTTGGAACAATAAATTTCGTTTAAAACTTGTCACTAACACATATTATTAAATAATTTTTTTGCGTAATTACATAAAGTAATTATGGTATTAATTAAAAACATCAACAAACAAATCAAAATGTTTCTCTTAACTAAAATGTCATTGAAACACTTAGAAAAACAAAAAAAATTCTGCACAACTATTTACAAAGTCCTTCTGCATTGTTAATTTCAATTGCTAAGGCATCTGAATCTAGCAAAACTACTGAATCTAGCAAAAACTACTGAATCTAGCAAAACTACTGTTTGCATGGTCATAAAAATCTGAATCTAGCAAAACTACTGTTTGCATGGTCATAAAACATAAAGCTCTCTATCTATCAAATGAGCAAAAGAAAAACATAAAGCTATCTATCTATTAAATGAGCAAAAGGATCTGAATGAAAGAGTGGCTTTAGCAATAAGAAAGCCGCAAAGGATATTTGCGTAAAATTGATAAAACAATAAATACAGCTAAAGACTTGATTAGAGAGTGGACATTAGTATGAAAAAAAAAATTCCAAAGACACTATGCAGAAGTTGATGTCGTTGATAAGCGTAAATGTTTTCTTATTTATTTGAAATAATAAAAATATTAAAGTAAAAAGCACTTTTATATTCTTCAAGTTCCTTAGATTAAAATAAATATTTTTTGTAGTTTTTGCATTAGTTGAACTATTTTTCATTTTTTTTTTATTTTTTATTGTTTTTAATTTAACGATCGCATGCTTTACCCAGTAAGTAAAGAGATGCTTTTTGAACGTTTTGGACGTCTTTGCGACGTTCAAAAGACATCTTTTTTAAGTACTGTGCCCCCTGGGTTGAATTGAAACTAAAATTAGTTTATTACTTAGTGTTTATTTACCCAAAAAATATTTATTTTCAAATGTAATTTCCTTTACTAGAGTAGCGATAGTAATACAATAACCTTGTAATCATGAAAGTTGGTTAAAAATTAATTGCTGTAATTGGTATAGTTTTGCGTTGACAAATGTGATCAAAAAAATTTTGAAACTTGCAATTTTTGTTCATCAAGTTAAGAAGCCAGAGCCGAGCCGGATATTTCTTAGGAGCCTCAGCCGAGCTGTAAAAAAAACAGTCACCTCCACAAGCCTATATATATATATATTAGGGATGTCCACATATACATGGAGGAAAAAAAATTTCTTCCGATTTTAGTGCACATAGGCTCATTTTGTTCGTTTTTCAATATTTAGTCATGTTTCCAAAAAGATCCCTAATCAATTAATATTTAGGGGTTGCTCAATGGCCCCAAAGGTTTTTCAATATGCATCAGCATTGGGTTACCCGCGAGTCCGCGATAAAATTGTAACAACAGAAAATAATCTGTCCATTTGACCAATCTTTATGATAAGGTTACTGACTGTAAAGCACCATTGCATTTGCATTACTTATTTATTTAGTGTTTTTAGAATTTAGATATTCTATGATGATGTCATTGTCAATGTAGCAAATGAGAATTATTTCAGCAAACTTGTGAATTTATACAGAATTTATTTAATACATTGATGTAAACTCTCAATAAAGGTAATTATAATAGTTTCAATTAGTTTCTTACTTTGTGCTGATTTCATATTTATTTGATCATTCTATTAAACAGTTGTAGGAACTATAGACAACCTGCTTAATGCTGTGTTGAACCATTAGTAGGGTTTCAAACTTTATTTGTGACAATCCGAATCCATTATAAAAATAATAAAATATATTCTAATAAATCATTTTTATATGAATTCATTGAATTAATAGGCCTATCTTGTTATTAATTCTAAAATGCTTCTATCTTAATTTTAGACTGTTGCTGAAAATGGCTGCAAAGTCAAACGCTGTACCACTGACACGCACTCGAACTGCTGTTTGGCTGATTGGTCAACCTGAAAAGGACCTACCGAGTAATGTCCTTCCGACAACGGGCGATGTTCTTCGTACATTTTTCCATTACCACAAAACAATAAAACAGACAGTATCTGCCAGTGCAAAGTCAACCTCATCTGATTTGGTAAAAATTTGGAGCAAGGCACGGATACCAATGACCTATCAACCACATATCGTGTCAAAGGTGAAGGTATGCTTTGATGAATACAGTTTGATCAAGAAGAATAAAGGAAGAGAAAGTGAATCACAGCTAGCTAGAGAAAAAGCATTTAAAGACAAACTGAATCTACTCTTTGATATTGCTCACAAAGATACAGGTACATTAATCAAAATCGATGAAGACAAGCTGTTTTTGGAGGATCAGCGGAATGCTCGCATGATGAAGATGAGTGGAGAAGATGTAAGATTATCACAACAAGAAGAGCGAGCAGCACAGCGTCGACAGGCTGAAGCTGAAAGGAAACAGCGTGAGGAAGAAAGGAGAGATGCAAGTGCCAGAAGCAGCCATCACAATCATGGTCTTGAAAGCGACAGTGACGGAGCAGAAGAGGAGGATATTGAAGATGATGATTACGAAATAGAGATACCAGTATATCACAAGAAGCAGCTATGTGAGGTAGTGGATGCTGGACATGAATGGACTACAGTTAACAAAAGACCACGCATTTTGGAGAACATTCTGTCGTCACCAGATGTTTCATCAACACTTGATCGCATAAATTTATCTGACCAGAAGTTTACAATTTTGGCAGCAGCAATTGCTAAAGCCAGTGGACAGGACCTACAAAGCACGCCATTGTCAAGATCAACAGTACGTCGCAAACGTATTGAACACCGATCTTCAACAGAAAATTGTATTCGGCAGGAGTTTCTCTCCAGTGAAAAACCGCCTCTGGTGGTCCACTGGGACGGTAAAATCATGCGAGACAGCACGAACTTAGAGGATCCAAAGTCCAATGTTGACAGAATTGGTGTTAGTGTGACTGGTGTAGATTTGGAGAAAATCTTGGGAATTGTCAAGCTTCCAGCGGGCACTGGGGTAGCACAAGCCAAGGCAACATTCCAGTTGGCCAAAATATGGGATGTTGATAGTGAAATCGTTGGCATGTGCTTTGACACCACAGCTTCGAATACGGGCTCCAAAAATGGTGCATGTGTCTTGCTGGAACAACTAATTGGGAGAAACCTTCTATACTTAGCTTGTCGACACCACGTGCATGAAGTGATTATTGGTGAAGTGTTCACAGTTTTGCTTGGCCCAAGCCGTGGCCCAAACATTGCTCTATTTGAACGTTTTCAGCAGTCTTGGCCAACTATTGACCAAATGAACTTTGTTCCACTTGATGATACGCGACTTACAGTTCCACAGCTGCAACAACTCAGAGCAGAATTTGGTCCTTTCTTGCTGTCTTTTCTGTCAGGTCAAACGTCATATCTACCACGAGAGGACTACAAGGAAATGATTGAACTTTGCCTCTTGATATTGGGTTTCACACTACCAAGCCATCCAGCTGGTGGAAAGCCATATCATTTCAGACAGCCAGGTGCCTACCATATGGCAAGATGGATGGCAAAGGTCATATATTGCATGAAGATTTTCCTGTTCAGGAATGAATTCAAACTGACTTCAACTGAGGTGAAAAACCTGTCTGAATTTTGCATTTTTGCAGCTCACATTTATGTACCAGCTTGGATTGCTTGTCCAGTGGCAAGTGATGCACCATTGAATGATTTGATGCTGTTTCAGAGAATAAAAAGATATGCTGAGGTACACAAGATTGTTTCACAAGCAGCTTTGAAGAAATTGCAGAATCACATGTGGTATCTTGGAACAGAAATGGTTCCTCTTTCACTGTTCTCCAGCAAAGTATCTGATGAAGAAAAGAAGTTGATTGCGGAAGCCATGATCCTCAGTGGAGATGATTGGAGTGTCAGGGGAAACAAGTTTCCAGTATCAAAATGTAATGAGTTGGAGAAAAAGCAACTACATGAACTGGTAACATCATCATCAACAGCTGCATTGCAGTCACTTGGACTTGACATAACTACCTTGTCAGGACTTGAGCCCCCGAGTTGGGAAGAAAGTGCTTCATTTCGAAAAACCAAAGCTGTTGTTGCTTCTCTCAAGGTTATCAATGATACTGCCGAGCGCTCTATTGCACTGATGAGTTCTTTAAACCAGTCAATAACAAAGACAGAGTCTGAAATGCAGAAACTCCTCCAAGTTGTTGAGGACAACAGGAAGCGCATTCCAGATTACCGGAAAAGCACCCTGATGGCATATGCCCCTCGATAGACGTCGCAAGCTTGAAAACTGAAATAAGTTGAACTTTGAACACGTGAACAATAAATGAGCATGCAATAAAAATCTGAACGAACATGTTTAAAAATTGCTGTTAATTTCTTTGATATTAATTTTGATAAATTAAAAATTGTTAATGTGTGACTGATTGTGTCTGCACTGTCTGTGTCATAACCAGTATGTCTTTTTGAAATGAATAGTAATGTATCTATCACATTTTATCATCTTGTGATTCTAGTTTGAAGATTTCAGTCAAAAAAGTGCAGCCGCGGCAAGTTTATCTGTACTGTTAAACTTCACCTCCATTGAGCAACTTGTAAATATCAAAATATAAATGCCAAAATTTGCATAAAAGTTAGTTTCCATCAAAGGAACAAAATGAGATACTGTGCTAGGTTGAATTCAAAAATTTTTTTTTTTGGACATACCTAATATATATATTATATATATATATAACACAAAACACTGCATATACAAATAGTACTATTTTATCACTCACTATACTCATCTTTAAATAACTTTTTAGTATCATCATTATCATCATTGAAATTAAAATGAAATGCTGGTGTAGTTGGTAATAAATCAAGAATATATTTCTACAAAAAAACAAAACAAAAAAAAAACAGAAAAATAAAGATAGTAAATGCTGATAATGCAAGCGCTAAAACAAATTCCAGGTGTTGGCATCCTGTGTTGTCTGAGCTTGGTGATTGGTTAAAATAACCCTCTAAAACCAAGTAATGAAACAGGCCCTATGGCCACCAATGAACTTTATAATTATAGCAGATATAATTGAACAATAAAAAAAAACCACGAAAAAAATATTTTACGGTAAAAAATATTATACTGACAAACAATAGACTTACATCTTGATATGAAGACATAGCAATAGACTTACATAAGATTCTTGATATGAAGACATATCACTTAAAGATTTTTTTAAATCTTTGATTGACTTTTGGATGTCAGGAATAATGTTAGAAGCAAGTCGAAGTCTAGAAATGAAAATAAGCATATCTCAGGTAAATGGCAGTGTTTCCATTATGCAGCAGAAAATAAATACCTGGGTAATAAATACCTGAGTAATTTTAAATTTACCCGGGTATTACCCGATAATTTAATCAATTACATGCTCTCAGAATTATAGAATGTTTTATTCAATAGGTATGAATTTAGTTATTTAAATAAAATAAAAAACAAGCTTTTAAGAAAATACAATAAAAAAGTTTATAACTTTTATATTTAAACTACAATTCTCTGTTTTTCACATATTACAATCAAAGAATCAAGTTTTTCAAATATTACAATCAAAGCATCAAGCTTTTCACATATTACAATCAAAGCATCAAGTTTTCACATATTAAAATCAATGCATCAAGGGCATTGTGGCAAAATCTAAATCTTATTTTTGAAGCAAATAATGTCAGGTTGAAAATGCTTGCGCTGATGTTGGTTTAATTGTTGAAATTGGTTGAAAAAATTTATTTATTGTTCAAAATCTTAAATCCAATCTTATCAACAGGGTTGTCTTCATTTTCTGTCACTTGAATAAATAAAGCGTATAACCTGCTACAAGTGCAACCACAACTTCAAAAGCGTATAATCTGCTGCAAGTGCAACCATAACTTCAAAATAAACTTGTAGCTGGTAGAGACATTTTTTAATACTTATTCTAAACTAATTTTTTTGCTCTGCTAAATGTTTTTTAATCATGTGCTAAGTGTGATTTCTTTGCTCTTGAACTTGAACTACAGGAAAGCAAAGCTTATCGATGTTCCTTGATCTTTTAGCTTCCTAGCGCCATAATTATTATTGGTTACATTATCAACTGCATCATCATTTATCTTATGAGGCTTACAAAGTATATTATAAATACAAAAATGGATTGTATGCAAAAGGCATGCAATGTGATTGGAACTAGTCTTCTTTTGCACCATCAGTGATTGTTACTATAATTTCATTATCTAAATCCAACTTAAACTTAGACTCTTGACTTTACAAGTTGGATAGCTTTCTTAGTTTTTATGCTTTCATGGAGACTTAATATTCCAATTTTTTGAAATCATTTGTTTAAACCGTGTAAGTTTAGATACATGTAACTATTGTTTTTGATTATAGTGGATTAGTCAAAATTAAAGGAAAAACAACCTCATTTTATATCTTTCTAAATCCTTACTCAATTAAGTTGAACACTAATTATGGCAGAACACTATTTACCATTTCGTTAGAACCATGGCCCATATAATAACAGGCCTTGACATTGAGCAACAAAGTTGTTTAACTGAAGGCTGATTTCTAATACTGTGTTTACATTTTCATGTTTACAAGACGAAAGTTTGTGTTTGCGCTTTTTTAATAAATCTTTGAAATTTGATTGGTTTATAAATTAGATGGCGCAACTTCAAGGCGTTAACGTTGTAAGGTTCAAGGCGTTAACATTGTAAGGTCAAACTAAAAATAAGATATTTTAATAATTAAAATGCGTTTAAAATGCTGTGTACCTCTTTGCAAGTCGAACTATCACTCAAAAATATCAATTATCAAAATGCAAGTTGAACTACAACAAAAATATCAATTTACAAATTCCCAAAGAATCCAGAGGAGAGAAAAGGATGGAGTGATGCTTATCCCAAGAACTGGTTTTACTGTTTTAGACTATACAGCAGTATGTCAACTGCATTGGCCAGATGATGCACCTTTTGAAAGCAAATATGAGAAGCAACGGTCTTTAAACCCACCATCTGTTTTTAAAAATATTCTGTCTAGTTATTTACCCACACCAGCAAGTAAAGTTAGAAAAACTGTAAGTTTAAGCAATTTTCGAAACATTTAACCAGATGAGTTAAATGATTTTCTAAAAGAGGATGAACTTAAATTTGACGATATTCAATCTTTGCTAAGTGATAATAACGATATTATTGTTTTCCAGCTTAATAAAAAAAGCTTACACATACAATCAAAAGTGTACAAACTTGGTGTTCCATTATTTATTTTACAAATTTTTGATGATTATTCATTAGTAGCTTACCATAATGGCACAACTTGTAATATTTCAGCTTTAACTGTAAACAAATTAAAGTTAATAAAAACAAAATCAGCTTTATTTGAAGCAGTTAGATTTAAAAAAAATAAAGAAAGTTCGCATCAGTCAAATATTCTATTCGAGCACCTTAATGCTATGAAAAAAGTTAATGTTGGTGAAGTTTTATATACTCCAGATATTATATGTAGAGCATATGAGTACTTTGCTATGCAACGAAGTTTATATGATCGATTGTGTATTGACCAAGTATATGGACTTTAACACAATTGACTTCAAAAATAAGCTCGATGGAAGACCTAAATTTTGTAAATAGTATTTTTATGAATTTAGATCCATTGAAAAGAACTTCCATACTACTAATTGATGAGGTTTATGTCAAAGCTTAATTACTTTACTGAGAAGTGCTTTGTTAGTAAGCTTATTATCCTTAAAAATTAGCTAAAACAATTTCATCATTTATGATTAAATGTCTTTTTGGAGGTCCACAATTTATATGTAAAGATCAACCTGTTGCAAGTCTTTCCTCTGAATTTCAGTTTGCTCTATGTCAACAAATTGTTGATACAATAAATAATATTGAAAATAGTAAGACACTGGCAATAATTACTGATGGTAACCGTGTCAATCAAAGGTTTTTTGAAATGTTTAAAACAGTTGATAGTAAACCATGGTTAATAACATCAGGTATATATTTATTGTATGATTATGTGCATTTTTAAATACTAGCAATGCGATAGCGCATACATGTTATGGCTTAATTGTAACTTGTAGAAACTTTGTTGAGTAACAGAGCTAAGTATGTTTTATTAGGTTGGTTTTTAACAGAAAAAACTTTTTCTAAGCTTCGACAGAGATCTGGAGCTACTTACTTTATAAACACTAAATTTGTAATTGAAAAAATTAATATTCAACATACTAAATTGATATTACAACTTGACATTCTTGTTGATGGTATTGATGATCATACTTGTGACACATGTTTTAGAGATATTTCTACTGATGAAAAAGAACTGCTGGATAATACACATGATCTTGAAAGCTCAATTAATAAATCTAGATTAATGTCTATAGTTTACATCTACAAAATGGCTATAGTTTACATGCTATAGTTTACAAAGTTACATGCTATAGTTTAAATAGTTATATGCTAGGCTATAGTTTACAAAATGGCTATAGTTTACATGTACAAAAAAGCGAAATAAAAATTTATGATGACACTACAATTATTATTATAATTATGGAAGTTATCTAAATAGCCTAAACAGAGGCAGACTTGAAATTCCTTCTGATACGAGAGTATCAGAAGGAATTTCAAGTCTGTTTATGCTATTTAGATAACTTCCATAATTATAATAATAATTGTAGTGTCATCATAAATTTTTATTTCGCTTTTTTGTACATGTAAACTATAGCCATTTTGTAAACTATAGCCTAGCATATAACTATGTAAACTATAGCATGTAACTTTGTAAACTATAGCATGTAAACTATAGCCATTTTGTAGATGTAAACTATAGACATTAATCTAGATTTATTAATTGAGCTTTCAAGATCATGTGTATTATCCAGCAGTTCTTTTTCATCAGTAGAAATATCTCTAAAACATGTGTCACAAGTATGATCATCAATACCATCAACAAGAATGTCAAGTTGTAATATCAATTTAGTATGTTGAATATTAATTTTTTCAATTACAAATTTAGTGTTTATAAAATTTAGTGTTTATAAAAGCAAAATATTGACCATTGGACGAGAGTCCAATGGTCAATATTTTGCTTTTTATTTTTTCAAGGTGCTACTGCCCCTTTATGCAGAACATTTTGTGTTACTCAGTTTCAGTTCATTGCAGCTAAATATAATTTAAATATCACAAAAAAACAATGCAGAATATATTCTAATATTACCACTCCAAGCAGTAGCAAAGAATCTAAAGCGAAAATACTAAAACTCTCATAATTTATGTGAAAATTAGTTTTGTAATTTATTATGCTATTTACTTGTTATGTTTTTTATTTCCTCCTTAGCCTTAATGTCTCTCAATATGTTTGGATTTGTAAATATTTACTCTGTTGAGATATATTGATAAAACTTTTATTATGCATGAATCAATTTTTGTTGGTGTTTTTTATTGTTGGTGATTTTTTTTGTTACCTTTTATTTTTAGTAATATTTCTGTAAGCAAAAAAAAAAATACAGTTATCTTTCTAATATAGATATATACATTGTTATGGTTCTGCTTGCTATTGATTCTATTTAATATTACATTAAAATTCTTAACAAAATTTGAAATACGAAAAAGTATAATTATTTTTTAACAATTTTTTGGTTTTCCTTTTATATTTTCGTCTTTATTAGAGATTTTTATTAGAAAACACAGACTGCCATTACACCCTACTCTATTGAGTATAAAAACATATCAATATAAGTGAAAGTGGAAGTTTAATCAGCCTTCAGTTTTTATGGGGTTTTGCGCAATGTCAAGGCCTGTTATTATAGTAGGCCGTGGTTAAAACTTAGGCCATCAACTAAAACCAATTTGTTAATCACCTCACAAAAAGCCTTTCTTAAAAAAAGCATCAATACAAAAAACCTTTGATGTTGATTAGTTTTCTAATGACCAATCTTTCACGCATCTAAATTTAACTTGAACCTTGTGCTTTGCATAAAGGTGGTACAAATTTATAATATTAACTTTTCAATTGATTTCTTCAAGTCTTTTTAAGTAAGCCAGAGTATATACAGTATTGGAAAAAACATTTGCAACCAACATCGAACAATGCTAAAAAGTGTTCCTAATTTTACATGTTTTAAAAAAGAAACGAACTATACTACCACAGCAAACAGTTAAGGAGTCTGGAGTCATAGCATGCCATGACATGAGCAATCAGCTGACAGGTGACAGCACACAGGCAGAATTTCGTTGACAAGTGCCATTTTGTAGCGGACAAAACA